TTTTGGAGGAGTTGTTCCACTGGTTAATTGTTCTAACTGTCAGGAAGTTTCTCCTTAGTTCTAGGTTGCTTCTCTTTTTGATTAGTTTCCATCCATTGTTTCTTGTCCTGTCTACAGGCGCTTTGGAGAATAGTTTGACTCCCTCTTCTTTGTGCAACCCCTGAGATATTGGAACACTGCTATCATGTCACCCCTAGTCCTTTCTTCATTAAACTAGACATATCCAATTCCAGCAACTATGCCATAGGTTCTCCACCACTGTGTTAGTCAATTTTGAGGCTGTAAATTATATCAGTAGGAGGAAATCTTTTAAGTATTTCAATAAATGCATATTCCCACAGGTGGCACAATTGCAGCATGTTTTAAACATAGTGATTTATAACAACTGGTTTCATTAATTGTGGAAGTGGTTCAAGACAACTATTTTATTATAAAGTTGTTGTAAATGCAAGCTTTGTCACTGATTTAGCAGTGGCTGCCACTACACTACAGAGAAGTCAAGGGCTATATATTTATGTTCACAGCTTCTTCTCTAGAATTTTTCCTCTTGCTCTTCCAAGTTTATGGAACTTGACCAATTTCTCTGGAAGGCAGAAATATTGAACTATGTTTACATGATAGTTCTCTGTTCACCTGGGAATTACAGATCATTGCCTACACAATTTCAACCTTTACATCACTATTGGTTCCACTCCCCAATCCTTCAAAGTTATTCTGAAGTTTACCTGGAATTACAGATAGTCCTCAAGTTACGACCACAGTTGAGCCCCAAATTTATGTGGCTAGGTGAAACATTTGTTAAGTGAGTTTTGCCCCATTTTACAACCTTTCTTGCCACACCTGTTAAGTGAATCACTGCAGTTTGTTAAGTTAGTAACACGATTATTAAGGGACTCTGCCTTCCCCATTGATTTTACATGTCAGAAAATCGCAAAAGGGGATCACATGACCCCGGGACATTACAAGCATCATAAATATGAACCAGCTGCCAAGCATCTAAATTTTGATCAAGTGACCATTGGGATGCTGCAATGGTCATAAGTCACTTTTTTTCCTAAGCCATTGTAACTTTGAACGGTCACTAAATCAACTGTTGAAAGTCGAGGATTATTTTTATCTTTCTTTTCTGTGGAATTTGCAAAACTAAGAATTATTGTTTAGTCCAAATCGATCCACTGCACAATGAAGTCCTCTTTGTTGAAGGCTAGGGCTGTAATCTACCCCACTGGTCTAGTTCAGGTTGGTAGAGACATATTTTTCAACGTTAGTGTCTAGTCTAGGGCTAAGAAACATTGACATTGACCTACATTGCTCAACTGGCTTCTATGTGTAAAAGAGGATGAGAATCTGTGGCTTCCTCTTCCTAGCCCAAGGTTAAGAATAAGGAGCAACAGTTTGCCCTATTTCAGCCTACTGTAATCTGGAATAAATAAAACATCCTTCATTTTGTATTCTGTAAACGCTTACATACATATGAATTATCCATGCACTTGCTATATGCATTTGTCAAGTGATAGCAGAAAGGAAAAAATTCAAACAGTTCAAGAAGAGATTGGACACCCATTTGTCCAAAATGGTATAGGGCCTCCTGTCTGAGCAGGGGGTTGGACTAGTCATTAGAAGACCTCTAAGATCCCAACTCTGTTATTCTGTTATCCTGAAAATATGCTTAAAAGTATCATGACATGTTTATCCTTGAAAAAGCTATTAGGGCACCTGAAGTGAGGAACATGGAAGCGTTGTGAGGCAAGAGATCCTACAACTGGGGAAATGAACCATTAAAATAGCTTCACAGAACTGCAATATCTGGAAGAAATGATAAATTTTAACATGATTTTAAATTTAGTTCTCTGCAATTGGTATAGGTTCTTATATGAAAGCTACCAAATTTATAAAACTATTAGGCATAAACCATTCTCTTCTGATATAGTTGGACATTTGTCCATTAGTACTGAACCAACCATAAGCAGCTTCTAATATGTACTGGTATGTAGGAAAATATCCTTGCAATATTTCAGATATTGGCAAGACATTTAGACAAAGACAATGTTTAAATGCTACATCTAAGTAAAATGAATAAGGCATTTTGCTTTTTATGAGCAAAGTTTCTGAACAATGCATGTCCAAGTTCTGAATTATACCATGTTAATACATCTCACTTCTCCCTTAAGAACAATGACTGTATTATGAAAGAAAATGGGAATTAGCTCAAAAGTCTGTGTAAGGAATTCATCACAGCTGTTCTACCAATAGGAGGATCAAATGTTTCATTTGCCAAGAGCTTAATGCATTTTCATTCCAAAGGCAGAATTGGAGGTAATCCACAGACACAAAAAGAGCTCAGAGTTATAAAGGGGTGTAGTCCCATAGAGTTACAGTTGTGCACACACACGCACAAACAAATAGTGAGCAATACTATGAGAGAAAGAGGAAATGAACATATTTTTTTCTCTTTTTCTGGATTCATATTGTATTAAATTTCCTCCAGACCATCATTTGGGTAAAGCAGTTCAAGAAAACCTTTGTCAACCCCCAGCAGCCATTCATACATAAGAAGGCTAATGCTCTACAGTATTATTAATCAAATTCAACAGAATGTTGTTATAGCTGCAAATTCAAAAGAGCATTTTGTTCCATAACATTTATATAGATTCATATCTATACATGTACCTTTTTTCCTTATAGTGTCTTCCCCCTCTCCCTTATGTGACAATTTTTATATATGATGATGGCTGTAGAGTGTGACAGAATAAACATTCTGTGACAATTCTCATACTGATAAAGATAGTAGCTGTTATCAATCAATGTACATTGATAAAGGAGGCAAGCCTCTTCTGCTCTGCATTGCAAGAGGAAATAAACATTCACAAAGTTTTGTTGTCTTAGTTTGCCTGTGCGTATATTCTAATTTGGAAGCAGAATACAGTACTTGCTAGAATTCATATAATCTAAATCTTTCTAATCACAGCTCTTTAATTCATGTTCCTGGGATTAACTGTTTCAATCCAGACAGCAAGAAGAAAAAGCAATTGTTGGAGCCTTGGAGCAAATTCAGTTAGTAAAGAAATGAGGCAGTGTGTGTGCTTGAAATTATTTGGAACAGGGAAACAAAGAAGAAATTACACATATAAATGGATGAAAGAGATTGCGGGTGTTTCAAATCTTGACACTAAAGGTATTTTTTCTATATAGAGAAGAAAAATGAGTTTAGGTATTGTCAGAGTTGCTTTAGGTAAAAGTAGAATTGTCTTTCAAATCAGATCTGTGCAGCTTTCTGCACTGCAAGGACTCTAAGCTTGGCTCCCTCTTAATACCTCCTTCCAGTCTAATTGGAGATTCCACCAAATCTGTGTTTTATAAACCATAGTTTATCACTTAGCATGTTGTGTCAACACAACAACTATGTTGTATTCAACAATGATCAGTAAGTAAATCACTGGTTAATGCAAGGGTTCTCAAACTAGGGGGTCATAAGCATATTGGGGTGGATCACCACTTTTTAATGTATTTCATGAATTGGTGCTTTTAACACAACTAAAATGGCCAAATCACTCATTTCAACAGAGAATAACAACTGATGCCTACTGATATTGTTGATGTTTCTAACATTTCATTTTAGAGTCCAATGGTTTTGCAGCACATCTGCTGTTCTTATAGTGCTGTTGTCCATGCTTGATGTAATGAGAAGCATTATTTTTTCAGCCAGCTTGTCACAGAAACCAGTGCTGATTTGGGCTGAGAGTAAATGACTTGTTCAGGTTGAACCAGCTGGCTTCCATGCTTGACAGAGGACTAGAACTTAGATTTCCCCACTCCTAGTCCAGGACCTTCACTACTACTACCTCACCGGCTAACACCTATTGCTACTATGTCAAAGAATTATTGATAACGACAATGCATTGTCACTGATTATAGCTAGTGGGATGTGGCTTTCCTCAGAATTAATTATACACAACTAGAACTCTTTTGGGTTGGCATAGCAATTTTTTTTGGCCTGTCTATAGAATGGCATATGTCAGTGAAGGTCAGTTGTTATCTTTTTTATTTAATAACATTGTATGGTTACATTGCTGTTTTCTTTGATATAAAGATTGAAATTTAATTTTAAAGATAAGTAATATATTTTTTTCTTGCTCCACAATAATGACTGAAATAATTAGTTTTCATTTGGAGGTGTGCATGTACAAACGCCTCTATTATTTTAGGAATCAAGGAATTGGAAAGTTTAATGAGTCCCGATAATGTAACAAATGAATACAATCTTTACAGTATCTAGTTGAGTGGACAATGCTTACTTCCACTTCAAATAAAATGAATGGGGTCCTTGCAGCAGAAACTGATGAGGAGAGCAAGAAACCAGCACTCCTCAACTTGGCAGCAGATAATTTCTCGAAGCGTCCCCAGGGCTGTACTTAAGTTTTAAAATATAGCCTCCACTGTTGCCCCAGTGCCTTGATGCTATTAAAAAAATTGTTTTTAAGTTTAATTGCATAGAGACACTGGTGTGGGCATTCACATTTCCCCTAGTTTTCATTGTGGACCTTCCTCCTTGCTGGTAAAGCACTTGTCCAGAGGCAATTAGGCTCTTGAATAGAAAGAAATTTCCTTGTCTTGACATGAAACAAAATGGCATCTGCCCTCCTATAACATGCCCTTCCACTTCAGAGCATGTCAATAGAGGTATCTTTGTTCCACAGCAATTTACAGAGTTGAACCGGTGATGTCTTTATGTGAAGAACACATTTCTTCTTCTTTTACTTGTCCCCTAAAGATTCTTAATCTAGAGCTTTAGTGAGCACATTAGTCTTCTGGTATCACTGCCTCCTCAAGTCTGATCGAATGTAACGCTGGCTAATAATTCCCACAAGCGTATGCAGATAAAGATGGCTATGGAATAGCCTTTCCACCTGCAGCATCACCTGGAGACATCGGCTGGGAATTCCGAAAGTTGCTGGCTGACTCTGCCTAGAGTTCACCAGATGAGGAAGACTGACCCAGAAAATTTATGGACAGATTTAAGCAATAACATCAGTATAAAAGTGACCAGTGATGAAGTGTTGGATGTTTGGTCATTATTTATTGATTGATTGTTAGTAGAAAATCGGAAATCAGCAATCTGCTGAGCAAACGTATGCTGAAACCACATAATGCCTGATTTCTGGTGGTCTTCAGGTAGGATATTTGTCAGATGAAGACTCATACAATTCATACGTCACTGTAGGGGATGAAAAAAGTCAAAACATTTACATCATGCAAAACAGCTCAACAACCGTTTCATGGTAGCATTGCTTGAGGAGCAAATTCACAAAAATTGTTGTTTTAATAATGTTTAGATACAGTGTTTCTCAACCTTGACAATTTTAAGGCATGTGGACTTCAACTCCCAGAATTCCACAGCCAGCAATGCTAGCTGTGGAATTCTGGGAGTTGAAGTCCACATGCCTTAAAATTGTCAAGGTTGAGAAACACTGGAACTTTAGAAGATACCAGATTTGCTTGAAACATTGTCCATTTGGCAAATTAATTACAATAAACAGCCACAACCCTTCTCTTTTATTCAGACTGAATTTCAGGAAGCAAATTTAATCTCCAAAATATGCTTCCACTAAGACTTTACTTGGCACAAGATGGCAAGCATTTCTACTAATTCTAATATATTCCCTTGATTTTGTACAGAGGTCATGGTATTGTACATCTGGAAGTACAGTTGTAATTGTGACTGTGCAGTGTCTTGGCAACATATGTATGTGTCTTTGTTTTCAGCATCTGTCATCCCCTATCCTTCTGGCAAGTTTTAACTAGCAAATATGATTTCTTTTATGAACATGCAAAATATTATGAACAGAAATTTCTTTGTGTGAGCCTGTTGGGACAAGAGAATGATATGCAGACTAAGACTCAATAGAGGCTGATGTAGTTGCAAATCATTTCAACCTACCAAATTATTATTTGGAAACATTATCTAGTGCAGATTTCTCTATACACTCTAGATGTGTTTTAGAACAAATTCTGTCATCCATCATATTAGCCATAGGTGATGAGAGTCACAATAAAACACATTTGGAAGATGCCTTGTTGAAAAAGGAGGGATTTACGAAGTTTTGACATCTTTGGAAAACAACTACAAATATTATTTATTATTTATTAGGTGCACTTCCAAATTGCTTCCTGTTAATAAAAAAATAGTTTTGTAGGGACAATTGTACCTGGAGTGCCATATAAGCTCAGCAAAATAATACAGCAAATACACAAACAAAACTGTAGCAGCTTTCTTCTTTATATAGAACGACTAAAACCAGAATAATGAAAATGTACTTAGATCTGATTGCCATGGCAACCCATTCAGCTTAATTATAATTCAACAGGATTGGGAATAAGCTCTAAAAGAATCTAAGTGTATAATTCAGCAATGTGTTGAGGTTTTCAAGTATTCTCCCGTTTTTGTCATAAATGGCATTAATTGGCTCTGTAATATTTGGGTAGACAAAATAAATTAGAACACATTGAACTGACAACTGATTTTATTGACCTTTTTGATCAGTATTCTCTCTCAAGAAGCTACCACCAGTATGAATAACTTGGTTATCTGTCTTGATTAGACCATTTTGGAACAGGAATATATGTAGCCTTCAAGAATTCTTGAAATACTACACTTAGGAGGCCTAGGTAGCATAGCCAATGTGAGAAATACAAGGAGTTACAGCTGTTGAACAGCAACATCTGGAAGATCAGCAGTTCTGGCAGGCCTCTGACAAGAAAAAGCGAGACCCCTCACTTTATCATGCTTGCCATTTTTTATCTTTATTTTTTATGTTTTATTTGCTTATAATGTCTTTGTTTGATAGTTGAGAACTACCCAGAGTCATGAGAGTTAAGTGGCATACAAATTATAGTAATTATAATTAATAATCTTCCAAGGTGATTCATTATCATCTTAGTAGTTGTCATTGTCATGATACCATTTTCAGTGATTTTGAATAAAACAAATCTTGGTTATCAAACAGCAACCATGCTAATAAAATCTCACATTTGCTTTAATCTGAAAGTTTATAAAAAATCAGGAATTGACAAACACTAAGAATTTTACTACTGATATAGTAATGGAGTTTGGCCTAGAAGACACCAGAAATAACTAGTTAAAAAGAAGAAAGTGTGAATAATCAATGTGGCAATACTGGAGATAACAGAATAGAAGACAAATATAAAAAAATGGAGATGATCACAAAATATCAAGATCTGAAAATTGAAAGATTATGGCATAAACCAGTCATGGTCTATTGGCAAAACTCTTGAATGGCACTTAGAAAATATGCACATTGACAAAAATTCCACCTGTCAATTACAAAAGGCCAATTACTTCTTTGATCCCAGTAGGGATGTCCACAGGGATGGATGTCAACAGTGTCAAAATGGCAGCTACAATCAGGTGACTGAATCTTGCCCTTTTTACTTAAGCAAAATACAACAAAAAGTGCAGGCTTTGATCGTTTAGACATGTTTGCTGTTTGGATAGTGTTAATGTTCCTTCTACAGACATCTTTGATCCCAGCTGTACTCTTGGTTCTGATAGCCAAGCCCTTCACCATATATTCTGGTGTGCACTGATGCTTGTTTGATTTGCCATTGCTAGACTCTTATTTCCACAAGCCCACTTTCCAATTGAGAGCAGTCAGTCTTGAGAGCAAACCAGAAAGCTCTTGCAGAAATCTGTTCAGCTCTCCAATTCTTTAACTCTTGCTGCTAGGAAAGGACAATTTCCTTTTATCAAGTTTCTGTTTAGTTTTGGGACATCCAATGCTGATTTTGATGTTTAAGCATTTGCCATGTGAGTTGCATCTCAGTCTTAAATTCTATCATTTATTTGTTTATTATTTACTTGTATGCTTTTGCCGTTGACAAGGTGCCTGCATGATGGATAAAGGGAAGAGAAGCAAGGAGTGAAGTGAAGAAACATGCCTCATTGTAATACCAACTCTGCCCCTTATGAACCTCTGAGTATGAAGGAGCAGAGCCTGCACTGTGATGTTGCAATACACGTTCTACCATTAGGGCATCACTGTGGTTAGATGCCCAGAGCTGCTGAAGACCAATAATGGCAATTATATAAAAATAATAATCTAATATTACTTACCCAAACTGGAATGCTCACTATTTTTCCAGGTCTTTATCCTAATCCTGAAGCTCTCTTCTCTTTTGCAACCTGTACCGACAGAATCTTTCTTCATCATCGTTGATGCTGCTACTACGGCTGCTGCTGCTGCTGCTGCTGCTGCTGCTGCTGCTGCTGCAGGCTCTACCCTGAATGAGCATGATTGCCTCGGGATCCGTTTCATCCATGTTGAGGCAGAGGCAGGAGGAGTGACTTACCTTCAGTGAATCACCCCACATTTTCTCACACATGTCAGTTCCACTGGCATACATCTAGAATTCATAAATGGTCTGGTTTATAGTATCATTTACCATCAGAACCACACTGTCCTCCTTATTTTGATCTTTACATCTAGGCTATTATGAAAAAGTAAGGCGGGATGTGGCCCAGTTCAGTTGGGATAGTGGATTGGGAAACTAGTTTATTCACTCATTCAGGACCCAGAGCATAAACCATATCAGAAATTTCCTAATTGCTTTATTACGAGGCTAAAAGGATTGGAGGTGAAAAGAAGCAATTCTTACCCAACCCGTTGTTTAGAATTTTAGCCTCTCTTCTTTGTAGCTTTATAAACAGAGCTTTACCTTATAATCATACCAAGGATTTTGTCCATTTAATCCAATATTTTCATTTGATTAGTATTTTTTTCTGAAATATGTGTGGGCAACCATTGATAGCCAGGAATTGCACAGTTTAAGTTCATACTATAATATTCATCCATTTTTAGTTTCAAAATTGGGAAACAATGGCACTTATATTAGTGAATTCATCTTTGTTGCTGCTGCTTCTGCTGTTGGAGAATCTATCCTGAGTGAAGTTGACTGCCTTGGGATCTACTGCATCCTTCTCTAGACAGAAACAGGATGAGTGACTTATTTTCAGTGAATCACCCCACATGTTCTCAGGAAGATGGCTTGGGAGCTGTGTGTGGCACTGGGGCTTCACTATGTTTTCATTTTTTCTAAAATCTCTAGCAAACATTTTCCTAATTTTCCTTTTATCTAGAGATGCATGAGTTCTATCACTGAACTGACCAACACATGCATTTCTAGATCAGCCTTCCTTCCCATAACAGACATCTTCCAGATTTCTAGCTGGAGTGTTAATGATATCTCAAAATATAGTAATGCATTGCTTTTTAAACTAGTGTGATAAAATGGTACCTTGGTATACATCATTAACTGGTTCTAGGATGTACGATGAATACCAAAAACAGCGAGTACCAAACAAATTTTTCCCATAAGGAATAATGGAGTGAATCACTGATGAGTTGTAGCTTGTCCACTGAGTACCAAATAAAGCATAAGTACCGGGACAAAATTTTCATGTCAAAATGAGTTGAGTATCAAATTTAGTGAGTTTCAAAGCAGTTGAGTATTAAGGTATCACTGTAATTTCTATGCTGTATGTGCAAAATGACAGAAGATGCCCTTTGTACAACAGCAATATATTTTTTTGTTTGGAAAACATTCATTTCAGATTAACCTAATTTAAAATAAATATTGGTATATTTACTTAACATCCTCTTCCTGAGTTTAAAGTTTGGAAGTCAGACTTCAAAATTATGCACTTAATCTGCATTTTAACTTAAATGGCATTATTGGTGTATTATTTAAAAGAATGATTGGTAGCATGCATTAGCAATAGTAAAATATTTTAGAATTTAGGAGAGGGTGAATATATTAATTATATTAATTTGTTAGATAAAAGGGCTAGTCACAAGTCACTTTTTTCAGGGCAGTTTAACTTCAAACAGTAGCTAAATGAATGTTTTTAAGCTGAGGACTACTTGTATAGAAAGCCATGCAACATTTTAACATTAGGGTACTATATATGCCTCAGAAGTAGCTTACTGTACAATACATTACCTCACTGATTGGGATGCATTCATTCTTACAGTGATTTTCTCCTTTTTCATCAGTTTCCCAATCAGTCAACCAATTGCTGACACAAGTTTGATCACTTTTACAAGCTTCATACCTATAAGAGAAGACACAAAAGTAGAGGTCTTATCTGTGTTTTTACCACCTCACCCCATAATGCAACATAGAAGAATGTATTTTATTGACTATTTTTTTTTTTAAAAAAAATCAAGTCAATGCTCCTTCAGGATATGATTGGATATTATTTATAAATGTACAGGGCAGTTTAAAACAAGGACATTTTCTGGACAAGGGAAAAAAATATATACCTAAACCAAGGGTAGGCAACCTTGGCTCTGTGCTGTGCTGGCTCTGTAGCTGTGCTGGCTCAGGAATTCTGGGAGTTGAAGTCCACGAGTCATAAAAGAGCCAAGGTTGTTTACCCCTGACCTAAACCATGTGGCTTGTTACATCGACAGAATGTATGTTAATAAAGACCTGTAACTTTCCTAGGTGATAGCTATTAGATTAATAAATAGGGAAGAATAATACTGTACTTAATGACTAGAATTATGGTTAAATCCAAGTTTCCAAAGAGTGCTATTTTCTCCTCATCATTACAATGTCAACTAGGGATGAAAATATTCTAGCACCACTTTGAGGCTTATAGAGTGCACCTCATTGGTTCCATTTCTCATTCCTCAAATTCTTCCAGTGGTTTTGACCCTATAATTATTTTCACTTCTGCAGATGAGACTGCAGAAAATTGACAGGGAAGATTAAAAAAGATCACTCTGTTAGTGACATGCTCTAAAGTACTATAGGTCTTGAAAAAACACTTTGCCACAAAATGATTGATGAAACAGTTCTTTGAAAGTTTTCCACAGCTTCGCTACCTTTTTATGAAGTTTATGTTTATGTGGAGATTCTGAATGAATCCAGGAAACTATGTTTTTGTGTTAAGAACCTATAAACATAAAGTAGAATCACCTGAAAATTTAACATTCAATTAAAAAAATATGCCATTCCCAAAATCTTCAACATCTCTAGTTAAATTTTTAATTTTATTTTTTCAATATCAGACTTTTGCCAGCACCAGCTTTAAACTATAGCAAAACAAAAATTGGTAGCTTGCCATCTGATCTATGGATCAGAGCTATTATAAAACAATAACAATAGAAAGCCCACTGCATCATTTCAAAGTCTCTTTTTCTAAGAAATATAATCTTAAAATGAATGATGCATACTATTACAAGAATTGAAAATAATATTCTGTCCTGCCCTGGAAATATGCATGTGGATTTACTTCTCAATGTTTTTTTAAAAAATGCTAAGAGAAAGTTATTGGTAAAGTTAACAAGATTTTAAGAATAATGAAATTGCACAGGAAAGTTTTATTTTACCTCAAAAAATGAAGAATTAATAATAAATTTAACTGCAAATAGAATTTTAATTTTTTTAAAAAAATAGCAAAAAGGTCTACCTACCAGTCATCACAGAATCTTTCGCATATGGGAACCGAAGAAATAGCAGCTGCACGTTTGGGATTAGCCCACTTAACTGCATATGGTGAACACCTATAAAAACACTCTATTTTCTTCATGTAAGCTTCACACCTGTTTGTATGAGGAAAACATTCACTGTTATTATATGAAAAATCTCCAACAAAACAATTGGAAAATTGTTTGAGAAGTTTAACTCATTTGTTCCTTAGATTTATAATTCTGAAATTATACTGCAATCTTATTTAAGTAAATGCTAGATTTCATATTAAGGCTACATTAATGGCTTCCCCATTGACTTTGCTTGCCAGAAGGTCACAAAAGGTGATCACATGACCCTGGGACACTGAAACCGTCACAAAGATGAACCAGTTGCCAAGCGTCTGAATTTTAATCATGTGACCACAGGTATAGTGCAGTGGTTGTAAGTGTGAAAAATGGTAATAAGCCACTTTTTTCAGTGCCATTGTAACTTCGAAGGGTCACTAAATGAACTGTTGTAAGTCAAGGACTACCTTATTTGCTTTAATTCAATTGCCTTAGGGAATCTTTGGATTTTGGACAATAAAAGAATAATTATTAATATAATTGTACTTTTAGAAGAAGAATAAAAACAACATCTGGAGAACTACTTGAATATCATCAACATTAATAAAATCAGCAATCGGTCAATTGCAAAAAGCACTTTCATTTGGAACAGCTTACATTCTGTGATGCTATCTTTAAAGCCATCGAACAACATCTGCCTATCTCAGGTCCTTGAGAAAAACTCAGTAGTTAGATAAAAATGTTAAATCTAGTTTAAACATCTGGCTGACTACACAACAAACCATGTAATGTATTAAATGTACACACATCACCTAATTTCCAGGGACTCTTTCTTTATATTTGTGCTGTTGTTACAAACAGCAACTATGGCAGAAATATGGCAACTAGCATATTCCTAGAAACATATGGAAAAGAAAAAAAATAAAAGCCTACATTGAGCTAAGATTTCCACATCTGTTCCAGAAGGTAGTATGTATTTTAACAACTGGTGAATGAGCCAGTTCTTTGGTAATGTCTGCATAGCAACAGGCGGCTGGGAGGAATTAAAAAACAAAGAATTGTTAATAAAGGCTTACTTTCTAACACAATTAAAACTGTAAGTCTCTGACCTAGTTAATTACCCACAAAAGCCAAGGTTATTACAATTGGAGTTGAATTGTGGGGCACTTTTAGATGAGGAATTGTTTTGTTCCCCTTCTTCCAAATCCTATTGAAAGTGCAATTTGTCGGCCTGTTTTGACTCCTCCTAAATCTATGAAACTCTCACAGAACTGACAGCTAATTAGTTGCCTTTCCTGCCAACATCTGAGCAAGGATAGCTATCAGCCAATCACATTCAACTATTTGCCACCACATAATTGATTACTTCCTTTGCCTGTTGATTTCATACCTAAATATGCGTATCTTTCCTGTCTTAAAAAGCCTATCATCTATCCATCCACCCACCTATCCTCACCTTTCTTTATCTTACTAAAAACATTACTGTCGGCCTCAGCTGTGTGGCAGAGGTGGATGCCTATGGGCTCATCTGTAGTGACTCTGTGTGTGTGTGTGTGTGTGTGTGTGTGTGTGTGTAGCAATTTTTTTAAATTTGGAATGTACAAGGAAGTAAGAATTAAAAGAAAATAAAATAGATATGTGGAGAATCTGTAAAACAAAGAAAAGAAAAAAAATTAACAGAAAGTGGTCTGATTTTGTGACATATGGGGAAATGAAAGCTTGAATGAAAGCATTGAAGTTATGTCAGAAATTATGACTTGATAGCATCTATACTGTTGTGCGAACTTCGGAAAGTAGAAATTCCTAAGGTGGTGATAGTTGCACATTAAGTCCCAGTGAACTATGATAAAAACAACAACAACTAAAGATGAGTTTGAACAAAACATTGTGGTCCATTCGTTATTCTATTAGGGATGGGTGGATGGGTGGGAAAAGACTAAACTGTACAGAAAAACAATTGGTTTCATTTGGAGATCCATGAATGTATGAAAATAGTGACTGGTTAATATCTGCTTTGTAAAACGTCTACTTTGAATACATGTTTATTCATAGTTACATATGGAAAAATAAGAAAAAACAATGACTGGTTTAATTGTTTATGATGAAAGATTGAAAGAATTAATGAAGGAAATTAGAGTAATGAAGCGTTCTGAAAGTGGGGATTGATTATGTGCCAACAGGATGTTGCTGACTCCCAGCTACCGCATAGATTTTTCTTGGCAGACTATTGTTTAGCAGCATCAAGAATGAGCTTTGGAAAAAAATATACATGGGAGAAAAAAAAGAGGCAGTTGTGAAAGTAGCTGTTACAGGAAGAGAAAGTATAAATCCTGGATTAAAACTAGTAGATTATAGATTACTCTCTCCTCAGAATAAATGATAAGTGGACATAAGCAAGAAAGATATGGAAGCTGCTTAAAATAGGATGAAAAGAGTGATGTCACACAATGCCACAGAAAAATGCAACAATATTCTAGTACAGACATGTCAAACTTGCGACGTCACGTGACGTTGAGCAACGTATTGGGACTGTTTTGCTATTGCTGGCAATGGGATGGGCGCGGCTTCTGCGTGACATGTCTGGCCCGCGGGCCAGCAGTTTAACACCCCTGTTCTAGTAGGAAGTATGGAAAAGGACATTTGTGGCATGATGACCTGAAAGAGCCTATGGATGATGAAAAAAAATCTGCATAGCTACTACAGAAACAAGAATGAGACAAAGAAAGCAATAGTTAAGATTAAAAAAGGCAGAGAAAATGCTGAATAATTTTCATGAGAGTAAAACAATGAAAGTGGATGAAGAGGGAACAGTAGAAAGAATGGAATTAGAAATAAGTATGTTACGGGTACCATGTATTAAGTACATTGAGTGAGACCAAGAAAAAGGGCCTTTCTACAATGACTCCCTTCCTTTAGATTATCATTCCCCCAGAGATAAAATTGCCACCCACCTTGATACTTTTCTAGAGGGCCCCCAAAACATGGTTCTATCAGCAGATCTGGGAACATCAGGTTGACATGGAGCTGATCAAGAGGTTGGTGTAATTGTGCCTGCTGCTGCCATGGAGGTAGGTGAATAAGGGTTTTTCCATTGTGGAATTTTAATGTTGTCAATCACCCATATAAGAATAGAATAGAATAGAATATCTTTATTGTCATTGTGTAACTCACAACAAAATTAAGTACTGTCCACAGTGAACACTACACAAAAGTAAAAATCACAAATAAGAACATACCTTATATACACATATCCTTCACATTCTATTCACCATTGCGCTGCTCCTAATGTTGCACTTCAGTGTTGTAGTATACAGTGGTATTTAATATGGTTACAGCTCTGGGATAAAAACTATTTTTCAGCCTATTTGTCTTTGTTTTTATTATCCTGTACTGCCTGCCAGATAGTAATAGTTCAAAAGAAAAGAATATCTGGGATGAGGTGAGTCTTTAAGAATATTTTGAGCTTTCCTAAGACAACAGGAACTGTACAGTTTGCCCGGGGGAGGGGAGAGAGGGCAGCCAATAATCCTCTGGGCAATGGTAATGACCGTCTGGAACACTTTCCTATCTGCTACTCTTCAGCAAGCAAACCACACACAAATGCAATAGGTTAGAATGCTCTCTATGGAGCAGTGGTAGAAGGTCACCAGCAGTTTTTCATTCAGTTGTTGTTTCCTGAGAAGTCTCAAGAAATATAATCTCTGCTGGGCCTTCTTAACCAATGCTTTAAAATGAGCACTCAAGGTCAGGTCCTCCTTTATGTTAACACCCAGAAACCTAAAGCTGGCCACCCTCTCCACACAGTCTCTGCTGATGATCAGGGTCTGAATGTCTGATCTATTCCTCCTGTAATCTACCGTAAGCTCCTTGATCTTAGTTGTGTTGACAAGCAAATTATTGTCTCTTCACCACAAAAGCAACCGCTCCACCTCATTCCGGTAGGCAGACTCATCCCACTTGGAGATAAGCCCCACCACTGTGGTATCACCCACAAATTTAACAATAATATTGCTGGGATGAGTGGGGGTGCAGTCATAAGTGTAGAGGATGTAAAGTAGGGGGCACAGCCCTGTGGGAAGCCAGTATTAAGAATAAGGGCTGAAGAGACATAGTTGCCTAATTTAAACCCTCTGAGAGCGGCCAGACAGGAAGTTCTTAATTCAAAGGCGGATTGAATGTGAAAGTCTGTGATTGACAAGTTTAGACACCAGTGTGTATGGAAGAATTGTGTTAAATGCAGAGCTAAAATCCACAACCCCCCACTACTCCAGATGAATCATATAAATGTGTTAAATCGGTAAGTAAAGAAGTAAATAGATAAGAGAACAATTTTGTACAGTGTTTTGGGAAATGGGTGGAAAAAAATTAAGATGTACAAATGCTGTAGAAAGGTAGCGGGCAGGATCTGGTCGGTTTCCTCCTACCCTTTTGGGTCAATGGGTGTTTGGCCTTTTTTCTCCAGTTGGCACTGGAATGTACCAGCTCCCTGTTTACATATATACCTGAACTGAGCAGCACTGGCTCCCACCTCACTAGCTTTTAGTCAGTGAATTACTTATATAAAAGAAGTATGTTGAAATGATTTGATTCTAATCTATAGAGTGGATGAATGAAGGGCTAAGATGCAAAACTGGTATATGAAGTAGGTGTGAATGGGCTGAAATAAAACGAAGGTCACACGTTGTGGCTGGAGGGAGTTCATGAGATACTCAGAAAAGTGATGTGAGAAGTTTAAAAGAGCAAAATTTAACCTGTGAAGTAATGTATGGATATGTATGGAAGAACAATGGTTTACAACAGCGGTTCTCAACCTGTGGGTCGCGACCCCATTTGGGGTCAAATGACCATTTTACGGGGGTCGCCAAACAATGCGATCTGCCATTTTGTTCCCTCAGGGGGCGCCGCCGCGCATGCGCGCCGCGCATGGGGGTGGCGCGTCCTTATGACCGGGGTCGCCGTATAAAAAAGTTGAGAACCACTGGTTTACAAGGATACAAAGTAAGAAGAGATGTAGTGAATGATTTGGTGTAAACGTTTATCATTTTTCTTCTACTTCTACTTCGCCTTGAATTTCTCGCTTATTCATTTTTATTCTTTTCTATGCTTTTTATTTTTAATCCTTATAGTCCCTGTACTTTGTTATTATTTCAGCACAGAGTAATCAATTAACGCCTCGTGTGCATGCGTGTAAGGTATATACACACAACACACACACAAACACACGATGTAACTGCATCATGACATTTAGCTCACATTTGTTGCGTGAACAAATGATAAAATACAAAGTAATCCTTCAAGTCCCCCTTTTAACAAAGGCACCCACACACAGCTTGTTGGTCACATACAGTCTAATTTTGAACACAGTTTTGCAATACTTACATTTGGCATATATGGTACATTCCTGCAAGTATTTCTCTCTGGTAGGCATTGGCTTGTGACCAGCCCCTCTCAAACATGTTTGTCTCTTTCCAGTGCTAGGCATTAAGACAGCAAGGAACAGGAACACTGAAAATCGCAACATCTTGTTACTGCTACCCTTACTGCTATTCTTGTGAAGGATCCTGTATGGAAGATGACATTTCAATCATACTGGTGGCTTACGAAACATAGGGGCAACCTTCATGTGAAATGTCAGAAAATATTGCAACTAAAACGTAGTAAGTGGAACATGGTTTTCCTTCTAATGTATCCGCCTTAAACAATTAAACTGAAAATTTATTTATTTATTTATTCAATTTAAATTTTTTGTTCAAATAAATAATAAATGTGTAGGGAATTTTGCCTTTAAAGCAAATATGGCTCAAAAAGCAACCAATTATTTTCCTGCCTCACCCCTTTTCTCCTCTAACCCTTTTGCCTGAAGAAGAGTTCGAGAAATTACAAAACTTCCAATAAGTTTATAAAATGTGACATGATAAAATATGATCCCTTTAGATTTGGATTTTTTTTTCTCATGGTGAATGCAATTATTGTTGCTTTTGAGCTGAGAATATCAGCATACCTTTGTGCAATTGTTTCAATTCAAGAACTTTATTTATATGGTTTCTATGTCTCAACTGTCTATAAAGAGGACAGTGTGGACAAAGTCTCCCCATAACAGGCATGCAATATGTATACACACTGTATTTTTATCTCCTATCCCAGGGGTAAGCAATCTTGGCTCTTTTATGACTCGTGGACTTCAACTGCCAGAATTCCTGAGCCAGCCATGCTGGCTCAGGAATTCTGTGAGTTGAAGTCCACGAGTCATAAAAGAGCCAAGGTTGCTTGTTCCTGTCCTATCCTATCCCAATATGCATCCTATCTCTCAGGCCATAAGATGTAATATAAACAAATATTAGTAACTGGGGTTGAAGCAGCTTTTGCCATTGTGGGAGTGGCAAATTAATCAATGAGAACAAACTATGTACTGTACTATATTAGTATTCTGATGTCACAAATGGCAAGTTATGCTCCAGCCCAAAATGTCCACCTTGAAAAAGTTTCGTGTTCACCACTTCGTCTACCATGTAATTTTTGGAGTTTACCCTGTTGGCTTTCTATAGTTATCTTCTGATTAGCAGAATATGTATGTTGCTTTCCATTATGAATCCCACCAAATGACATAGAGAAGTCACAGACACTTGACTTCTTAATATCTCTTGAGGAATCGATGTTTCCTTTTTGGGTTCCAAACTTCCTGGCCAGTTAATGTTGTTTCACAATATACAACATAGAACAATGGGATTAGAAGGGACCTCGGAGGTCTTCTAGTCCAACCCCCTGCTCGAGCAGGAGACCCTATACCATTTCAGACAAATGGTTGTCCAGTCTCTTTTTGAAAGCCTCCAGTGTTGCTTGGATTTCTCTTTAGTTGTATTGCAACAATAAAATGTTGAAAACGTATTTTTTTCTTATCTGAGAAACTTTGAGCTGGAGTAATAAACAGTGTTGCATAATTTAAAAACTTTTCTGTATTAGAGGATACTTCAGCTGGAGTGTGTGGCATATCCTTTTGTTTATTAATTTATAATGTATAAGAATACCAGAACAAGACAACATTTTTCCAGGTGAAGGACAAATGGGCCAGAAAGCAATTTAACTGTAATCTCCAATCCCCTTTGACACAATAAATACTTTAAACATTATTGTTTCAAAACATGAATTAACTCATATTACCAATAATTAACATTTGATTTTTACAGAATGTGAAATATAGATGATTTGGTTACTGAGGACTTCAAAAGAACTAAGCATATCCCTTGCCAGTGCACTTAAACTACAATTCCAAATTGTTGACAAATGCTGTTTTTTTCCTAGTATAATTATTAACTGTGGTAGTTTTGGCATAATATGGGTGGTAACTCTATATACACATGTGTGTGTGTGTGTGTGTGTGTGCGCGCACACACACATGCACGTGCACCTCTTGTGTGCATTAGAGTAGGTATTGACTCCTGGTGCCTGCCTGGACAAAACCTTTGTAGTTTTCTTGGCAAGATTTCAGAAGGGCTTTGCCATTGCTTCTTCTTGCTAGGGCTGAGAGTGTCACTGTCCCAAGGTCACCTAGCTCGTTTTGTGCCTTAAGGCAGGACTAGAAATCAGTCTCCCAATCCTTGGCCTTGTGCCTTAATCACCCTATCAAACTGGTTCTTGTGTCCCTGTCTTATATTAATTATACTACATCATTGCTACTTGTGCATACAGCTTAGCAAACATGATCATTTATTTCCATTCACTTACTCTAAGACAGTGGTTCTCAACCTGTGGGTCGGGACCCCATTTGGGGTCGAACGACCATTTCACGGGGGTCGCCAAACAACGCAGTCCTGCCATTTTTTTCCCCTTTTCCTTAGCTGTGCTACTCCCTTTTATTCTATTGGCTTTTGAAAGCCAATAGAATAGACTCTCTTGAATAGAGTCTAATTCTATTGGCTTTCAAAAGCCAATAGGAATTGTCCAGGCTGTCTCTGCCCTGCTGAGCCCGCCAAAAGTCCCATTCTGCAAACGGTGCTGCACCAGTTGAGTAGTCCTCGACTTACGACCGGTTGAGTAGTCCTCGACTTACGACTGGTTGGGGGTCGCGGCATTAAAAAGGTTGAGAACCACTGCTCTAAGATAATATGTTCACATTTTATGGATTCTCTGAATTTTGTATTTCTTTTGTTTTGAGGAACTGTTTTTTAAACATCAGTTTAGCTCTCTTCCACACTGTTAACTGTTTTCACTTCCCAAATTCCAAGAAACAATTTGGGGCCAGCTTGTGATTATTCTCACTCCCATCATCCTTGAAACGCAACAAAACCATATGAAACCTAGTACTCTCCAACTAACCAGTTTTAACATGTGATAAATAAATAAATAAAAATAACAAACTGGTAGAAGGCCATAAAAATGATATCTGTCCCCATTCACAGTGTATTTCATTCTCTGATTAAAATATTTGTAATGCGCTGGGAGAGGGAGGATGGCTTCAAAGCTCTGGTGCCATGATGGTATCGTTCCTTTATTAAAATAGAAGACAAATTAAAGCTTGAAGTTATGATGGCTTATCTCCACCAGGAGTTACATTGTATAATACACTGTATAATGTAACAATAATGTGATTTACATTGAACAATAATGTGGTTATTTTTATTTAGCATGTTATATGTACACACCCACCCTTTATTAACTATAGTTATATGGTGCAATATGTTGTGCAAGTTCAGCTATTACATAAAGAAGATCAGTTAATGTACCATACAGTATATCATATCTGATGCCATAATGCATTAGAGGTAAAACCAGGCATGATATTATATTTAATATGTGTGTGAATGCATTTAATATGTTGATTCCTTTTCAATAGTAACAATCCGGAGCTGAATGAAGAGGAAGAATAAAGGAACAACGCCTCCAAGAAAGGAGACTAGCTGTTTACAGTATGTAAAGGTCTAACTTAAAAAGCTATTATGATACCCACTCATTTTTTCTTCCAAAAGGGAAGTTTCCATCATAAAGTGCTGAACATCGTTTCAAGTAAAGATTTTCCAAAGCAAGGATTGCAGAATTAGTACTGGTCATTGTTCTAATTAATAAGTTCCAAGGCAAATGAAGCCAAATGTAAACATTGATTTCTTACCTCTTTTGCTGGCTTTCTCCTCTGGAAGGAGATGGAGTAAAAAAAAAAAAAGTTTCTGGTCTTTTCTGTCTATTATGCCCTCTTTATATATTGATTCTCAGCAAAAAAAAAAAAAAAAAAAACCGGTTTGCAAAGTAAAGCTTCCTAGAATTTTGCAAAAGCTAACAGACTTATCTCTGGGTCATTTATAGCTGGGATGTCATTTGCTTTGTTGGATTAGAGAAAATGTCTTGACTCTAGAAACAGCCAATCAGAAACCTCTACAGAAGGCTTGAAAACTTGCAATTCATCTAATAAAATGCTACAGATAGACATTGAAAGATATTCTCATATTCAATTAGAGCTGAATTACATTGCCCATACACTAATTTCCATAAATATGTGTATAGTATAGAGTTTGAGGCTGCAGAATTGTCTTCCTTTGAAGTACAAAGCTGCAACAGGTCCCTCTTCTTCTTTTATGTTTGAAAATCTCCTTTTAGTCAAGAGTGTAAGCTGACTCAAGACAGCTTGGGAGTCAGCTTTCCTATTAATAAAATCATAATTATTAAACTTCTGGTAGGCTGCTATGTTCGATGTAACTATGCTAGTTATGCAGATGTTTGTACTTATAAAATGTCAGTTATATATTTTCATTTTTGATTCTCTGGAGTAAGACTGTAAAGGTTGGGGAGTGTCATTCTAATATATCAGGAAGATACCATATTACAAACATGCCTGCAATTTATTTTATTTAGTTATTTAGAAAATTTACATTCCTAATTTGAATGTGGAGCAAAATTTGCCCTCTTTTTGCTTGTTTTCAGCAAACAGTTTGAAATTTTATATTAAAAAAACCATAGTAGTGATTATATATATATATATAATCACAATTCTTGAAATAAAAACTTCACACAAAAAGATAAAGATTATTTAACATTTTTCTATACATTTTATAATGAATTACTAATGATCAGATAAAGTTGTGAAACAGGTAAAAACTAAGAACATCCTTGTTGTTATCAGTCCGTATTTGCTATCTGTTAATGATAAAACCACCTGTTTCTGTGAAGGCAGCAATTCCACAAAGAAAGAGAAGGAAACTATTAAATCTGCAATTTTATGTGAACCTGGGCACCAAGTTTTTGATGGCGAATAGTGATGCAGAAAACACCGTATCTAGGACTGAAGCTACAAATTATAATAATTGTATACTTATTAAAAAGAATGGTAAAGATTCTAGATTGATGGTGAAAAAACAACCTAAAAGTTTCTATGATGGAATTTATTTTATATTTATCTAACAATACCAAGCAAATTGCATGCCTTGAAATTGTGTGTGTCTACATACATAATATGATAAATAAATGTTATATGTTATTTATATGTTACTTATATGTAAGGGTGTAGGTCTATACATATGTTGTATATAGTATGTTTTAAATGTGTGTTATGTAAGTAACATTTGAGAGCAAGCAACTAAATTTCATTTTTAATGTGAGCCGTTGTGCCCACAGGAAAAAAATGACAATAAAGGTTATCTAATCTAAATCTAATCTAATCTAGATTATAGTGACAATCTTGTATAGAAATAGAAGCTTGTCACTAGACAACTGAAACAGCAATACATTAAAAATATTTTATTTTCCTTTGTTTGTTTACCAAGTTGCCACATATCAACTGGGGTTCACAAATTATATTATACTATTATACTAATAGTATAATAGTTTTATACTAACGTGTATACTAATTGTATAAATTAGCCTGTAGGTTTATGTTTTGAATCTTTTCCTATGATTCCAATATTTTTTCATATATTTTGCCACAACTAATTAACCTTTATGGACATATGTGAGATACTCAAAAATGTCTTTTATCAGTAAATGTCCCACCCCCCTCATGGAAAGTTCTTTCAAACAAGATATTGGCAAATATATTTCAAAAATGATCAGGTCAAACTGACCAGGACTATGTCACCCAGATAGTGATTATTACTAAAGCTCTGCAAATATATAGTCAACCTTTAACAATTTTCCTAGTGTTTTTTTTTTTTAAATCTATATATTGATTTCTTTCCAGGCTGAAAACTCTTCTCACCTAATAGGGAGCAAGACTGACAACTGAGAATAATGCTAAAATCAAGACCAGTCGCACAATTCTTGTTAGGAGAAGATACTATATCAAGAAATAACTAATAAGAGCATAAAATAATATATTTTTGAAGAATATGTTTCCAGATGTGGGCAAACTTTTGGGGTTAGCAGGTACTATATACAGATAGTCCTTAGCTTACAATTATTCATTTAGTGACATTTTAAAATTACAACGGCAATGAAAACAGTGACTAATGACCATTTTCACACATCTGTTATAGCATCCCCATGGTCATTTGATCAAAATTGGGTGCTTGGTACTGGCATGTATTTATGACAGTTGCACTGTCCTGGAATCATATGATCATCATTTATAACCTTCTCAGTTGGCTTCCGACAAGCCAAGTCAATGGGGGAAGCCAGGTTCACTTAATACCACATGAATCGCTGGAACACAAATTGACTGGCCAGGACCAGTGACGCGGTCCATGAGCTGGGTGCAAATGTCAGCCAAACCCATTTAAGTCATCGTTGTTTACTGGCTTTTTAGCCCTGATGATGTTTGGAGCTTCCAAATGAAAGCTTGGCAGCTTTTAGTAAAGTATATTTTTATACCTATATTCTCCTGGTGGTCGCATTTTTATTTGTAATATATATATATATATATATATATATATATATATATATACATACATACATATACATACACATACATACATACACATACATACACATACACACACACAAAGATAATTAACAAAGATTATTAGGGGACTGGAGGCTAAAACATATAAGGAATGGTTGCTGGAATTGGGTATGTCTAGTTTAACGAAGAAAAGGACGAGGGGGAACATGATAGCAGTGTTCCAATATTTCAGGGCCTGCCACAAAGAAGAGGGAGTCAAGCTATTCTCCAAGGATGGAAACTGATCAAGGTGAGAAGCAACTTAGAACTAAGGAGAAACTTTCTGACAGTTAGAACAATTAACCAATGGAACAACCTGCCTCCAGAAGCGGTGAATGCTCCAACACTGGAAGCTTTTAAGAAGAGACTGGACAGCCATTTGTCTGAAATGTGTAGGGTTCCTGCCTGAGCAGGGGGTTGGACTCAATGGCCTATATATTGTGTATATGTGTATTATGTATGTTAAGGTGACCAACTTTTTTACAACAAAAAGGAGGACACGAATTAATTGAAGAAAAAAATATTGTAAATAAAAGAAACATTGTATTTATTGCAACAATAATACAGAATACACTATAATATGATCAATGCATAATAAAAAACATTTGTAACAATAACATTTTATATTGTAATTATGCTTACATGCCTATTAATTATTTAAATGAGTACTTTTCCATTGAATGAATATTTTTTGTCAATGTATCATCTTCTAACAATATATTGGAAATATCTGAACAAGAAATATCCTTCATACTGAATTTTACGGCAAGTGCTGCAGCTAGAGTATCAACATTCAATCTCGATTTCTCACTTGTCCAAAAATCTATACGGCTGGACTACGCGGGGGTGGGCAGCAGAGGCAGGTGTTGTGAGCCAGGCGCTCCAGGATGGCCACGTAGATGCGCAGGGTGAGGTGGTGGCAGCGCAGGTCAGCACTGCGTAGACCACCAGCTGGCGCGGCACATGGAAGGTCAACTGCCCACCGCGCCCCCGCCCACAGCCGCCCCGCCAGCACTGCTGCCCTGCCATGGAGAGCCGGCCCCGCAGCTTGCAAAGCACCAGCCGAGCCAACTCCGGCCCTGAGCCGCCCCCCAGCACCACCGCCCACCCTGCGCATCCCCGTAGAGCTGGCCCCACGGCTCGCAAAGGCAAAGCACCAGCTGCTCCGGCTCCGGCCCTGCAGCTGTCCCCCCAGCCGCCCCCCAGCACCACTGCCCACCCTGCGCATCCCCGTAGAGCCGGCCCCGCGGCTCGCAAAGCACCAGCCACGCTGGCTCCGGCCCTGCAGCCATCCCCCAGCACCACCGCCTACCCTGTGCATCCCCGTGTAGAAACGAACAGGGAAGATCAAGAGAAACTTACCGCTCCAGTCTCCTCCAGCTATCTGTGGAACTAAGTAAGAGATGGTGTAGTTGGGTAGCAGTGAGGGGTGCAAAGTTCCTGCAACTTGCACGTGCAAAGTTTGCCGCCTGGGTGTTTTGGCGCGCTCAGCAGCAATTCCTATTGGCTTTCGAAAGCCAATAGGGGGAGTAGCACAGCTCAAGCAAAAGTTGAAAAAAACCATCAAAAAAAGGTCCCGGAACGCCTTCTGGGCGTTCTATGAGGGAAAAAAAGCCCTGCAGATTAGTCTTCAAATATAGAAAAAGAGGACATTTAGGAGGACATTTTCGAGGGAGGACAGAACTCACAAAAGGAGGACTGTCCTCCCAAAAGGAGAACGGTATATGGAAAAGGAGGACATTTAGGAGGACACTTTTTGAGGGAGGACAGAACTCAAAAAAGGAGGACTGTCCTCCCAAAAGGAGGACAGTTGGTCACCTTATGTATGTGTATGGGTAGATATATACTTTGAGAGCAGGCAACAGAATTTCATTTTTAATGTGGGCCAGTGTGCTCACAGCAAAAAATGACAACAAAAGTTATCCTATATTATCTTGAAATGGGGAAAAATTCACTTAACAACTGCCTTGTTTACCAATAGAAATGTTGGGCTGAATTGTGGTTGTAAGTCAAAGGCTACCTCTATAGAGATTATGACATGCTTTGTGCTTTCAGCAAAGATCTGGTACAACTAAGAAAGGCTGCTATAATCAGCACAGTCAGACCTAAAACGCTGTTTGTCAAAAGGCAAATTATTGGGAATGAGCTCTCTATCACTTTCTTTGTAGCAGAGACTAAAAGCAAACATACAAATGCAATTAATTTCTCCATAATTGCCTAGAGCATTAGAAATGGAAATTAATTTAACTTGAATTATATTAATTTCAATTAACAGCCATCTCCCCCCA